AACCGAATTAATTTGAGGAGCTGCAACGGATGCTGGATTTGATTTTTTATTTCGGTTTCTGGTGTTTTGATGTTTTGATGTGCGCTACTTAAGTAGTTCATATGCTTAAATAAGCAATCATTTAAGTGCACGTTAGGCTCCTTAAAACACACATTTTTTGCCTGTGGTACTTAAGAAAACTGTTAAGCAATAATGGCTTTTTTACAGGCACATCTACAGCTTCAATTGAGATATTTTTGGTTTTATTACAAAACAAATTTAGTTTACGACCAGCGCAAAATGTAGATTTCAATTTGTATTTGGAAAATTTTCTTAAGGGAAAAAATTTGTATGAAAATTACAGTTGAAGTTAAAAATGGAGCCAAAAAGAAATGATTTCGATTTTTATTATATGAAGAAATTAGAGCAGCAGAAACAAATTTCACTCAGATATTAATTTTAATAAAAAATTAAGTTAGCTACAGCTTTGTCGAAATATAAATATAGTTTTTGATAGAAATGTAAGAAGTTTTGTTGATTAAAATTAAATTGAGTAAAATTTGTTAACGATCAAACAAAAGTTTTAATTTTCTAATTTTGGTATCTTTTTGTGTCCATAATTTCAAATAGTAACTGTGTTTATATCTAAATTAATTAAAAATAACTTTGCCAAGTATCAGAAGTTGTACCATATTTTTTAATTTAATTACCTTAATTAATTTAAGATTTAACATAAATTTTAGTACCTATGTAGAGAATAGGTTCCTGCTTATTTCGGTAAGTCATTATTACTATCTTTTCTCATCGTTTTCTAATTAAACAAGACTATTCTAAATAATTAAACTTTCTCATGAGAAAACTGTTTAACTCATGCTATTTCTACACTCACTACTCTTCTGCTACACACAACTGATAACAAACAACACTGCGTCTACCAATGTGAACAGAGGTTTAAGGTAGATAATAATTAAATATTTGTTATATTGATCACACTAACAAAAAACTACACATGCCATCTAGTGCCAACCAGTGCATGTAATTTTTCATTGATTTCACAAACAACTATTAATAGTTTCTGTGTGTTAATTTTTAACTGCAAGTCTTAATAAAAAGCTATATATATTAGTAAAACTTTCGACATTTATTGAGAAAAATGAACAGAGATAAATGCACAAAATCGATAAAAAGGTAAAGAAGTATGTCCGGCAGTAAAATTTATTTAAAAAATGGATTTAAAATAACATTCTCAATCTTTGAAGTCGGCATAATACTAAGTTCGACAATACCCATTATGGAACTAATACGATTCATGTAAGCATTCTCAGCATTGTAGCTGGTCTGATATTGTAATTCAATAATTACAGGAGAATGGACTGATGTTAATACTTTAAATCCATAAACGGGGCACAATAGTAAGACCAAGAGTATAATTTTTTAATGAAACTGAGTTTATATAAGCACTCTAAGCCCAAATAGAGGGTACTATACTAGTTCCGACACTATAATTTATTGAGAAATTATTGAGAAATATAATATACTGAGTGTAATAGTAGGTTCGATAATAACTTATAACTAATTTTACTAATATAAGCCATCGGAGTCTAAAAACTGAGTACTATTGGACCAGTATAATGTCTTGAGGCAAATGGACTTAGATAATTGCTCTCGATACATAAAAGTGATGTAAATTAACTCAGATTAACGCACTTGAGTCCATAAAGAGTGTGTAATAGTACTACTATTACCTACTATTATAGTAGGTCCAACATTATATTTTATTGAAAAAGATGAACTCATATAGACACTCTGTGCTCATGAAGTATAGAGTGTAAAGTATATTTTATTCAGGAAGATTTTATTGAGGTAAACTTGTACAAGCACTTTGAGTCCATTAAGAAGAAATTGTTGGAAAATTTGAGGAAAATGAACTTAGACTAACATTTTCAATACAAGAAAGGGACGTAATAGTGGGTTTGACATTAGAATTAATTGGACTCATATAAGCACTCTGAGTTTATGAAGGAACCTCACTAGATCCTTAAGTTGGATTGCGACATCCTTCGAGCTTAATTGTAAGTTGCAGAAATAAAATCGAATTGAAAGAAAACTTTATGTATGAACTTGTAATAATAATCCGCCATGAGGAAGAAGTCAAACAAACTTCGATATATCAGCGAGATTTATACATAGAGATGTACTCGTATATAAAAATAAAAACTAATTTTCAAGCTATTTATTATGTATTAAATACATTTTCAGCTATTTACAGACTTAACCAACATCATATTTAAATTTTTTTTAATACCGTAAAAGTTCTTTTTGATGCAGTCAGTTTTATGAAGAAAAGCAAAAATACTATTATTGTAGTGTCACAATATAAAGGGAATCGGAAAGGTGCTGTAGAACATAAAAGATATTTTCAAGAAATCAATCTATTTTTTGATTGCAATAGTAAAAATTTCAGTTACGTTTCTTTCATTTTATTACATTTTCCGTGTTTTTGGGATTATTGTTCGTAGTAAATAAATTTTGGAATGATTGCTTTTGTTGGGAGTACGAATGTACATATACGTATACTATATGGTTACGTTACTTCATGTTGGCTGTATACTTTGTAATCACATTATTATCCATGTCGCACCTGAGAAGCAGCACAAAGATGCACAAATGGCACAATTCTGACACGTTTGTTGGAAGTTAGTGATGCGACAGTTAAAAATTATGGCAACACACATCAATCAAATGCCAAAAATGCAGCACGCATACGAAATGCAGAAGCCGAACTAAAACTAAATCCAGAACTGCCAGCCACAAGTCCTAATATTCCACTCCGCACACGTACGTGCAGAATCGTGCACTTGTGGCTAAAAATTGCCAATACAACAGTTTCATTTGGAAGATGAAAAAATGTAGCTGGGAACCTCAGAAAAAATAAACGGAAAGCTGCAAAAGTCAAATTGAAAAGAAAAAACCCGCAGTTATAAATTTTAAGAAACGCAAACTTCATTTTTTGCAGTGTTATTTCCTCCTCTTTTTTTTTATTATTTTTTTTTTTTGGTTTGACATTTTCGAATCTTGCAATTGACAAAACTGAAAACTAGGAACCAATGAAAACGGAAGAAAAAAAACTATGATTTTACCTTGAAGAATTCCCAGGTGGAGCCGTGCAGCAATGTGCCGTACTGCACCTCAGTCTGCATGGCCAAATCCTCCGGTGAATTGATTGGTGTCACCATGCGTTCGACAGTGAGAAATGCAGCCAAGTTAGCTGTGTACGATGAAATTAAAATGAGTGTAAAGAACCACCAAACAGCGCCCACAATCCGACCAGAGACAGATCTTGGTGAAATGTCACAACCTTGCTGCATAAATGCGGCAAGGGAGAACCAAAACGAATTCAAAATGCTAAATTCATTGACGGCGGCTGCAGCAGCAGTTGGCACACTAGTAGAGTTAGTCGACACACCAGCACCTGTCATGGGTGCTGGCACGGGCACGCCACCAATGATGCCGGGCGGTTGTTGATTGGAAAGCTGATCGTGATGTGAATGTGAATCTGTGGAAAAGTAGAGAAAAAAAACGAAAAAAACGAAAAAAGGAAAAAAGGAAAAAAACAATGGAAGAAATATTACTGATTGTAAGCTAAGTTATCACAGCATTACGAGTATAAAAGCGTTTATAGCAAGGATGTAGTAAGGACAGGACGTAAGGATGTAGCAAGGATATATAGGCGTTCTGCAAAACGTGCTGACAATTTTTCCAGTCATTATTTTTTCTTTGCAGCTTTTGTGTAGAACATGAAAATGACATTCATATCAGCAGGCACGTATGTTTATGCGGATATGAATGTGGTGCGGCAGCATTTTAATTCCTTTGCAGGCATTTTTCCATATTTCTGGTGTTCCATGCTGCCTTTTTTTGGTTTTGGTTCCTGACTCTTGGTGCTACTAAAATATTATTAAATGCTGCCTTTGACTTGTGCTGTGTTTCTGGCATTATATCAGGCCATGCGTGGCATACGAAATTTGTTTGTTACACGCCGAAATTAAATTAAACGCCTGTACGTAGGAGCGTGATTACAGCTTGTTCGCAGCACTCGGTTCCACAGATTTGCCCGCCGCTAATGAAGGCGCAATGCTTCAAGCGGAACACAATTGAGCATAGAATTTTAATGAACAAAATCTGTTGGTACGTACGCGTGTGCCTACGCGTGAGGCCTCTTAGGAGAATTGTGAGCTACTAATCAGAATTACAATAAAATTAACAAATTTTAAAATCCTTTGAGTGCAAATGTTTGCACTAATTTCTGTTTCTGTTTCTGTTTAAAATTGCTCAGCTTGTTTATGTAGCAAATATTTACTCAGCTCCGCTGTTCTTAATAAAAGGTTTGACGCATTAAAGGAATAGCGCATATTTTCAGTAGCAACTTTATTTTATGTTCCATTAGAAACTATGTTCGATATTAAACTAATAATTTCCGCCAGCATCGCCGCTCCGGCAAGTAGCGGGAATAACTTTTGAATTGCAAAAATCGCAAAATTGCAAAAATTGCAAAAACTTTTCAAATAAGCTCATGAAAGTTAACGTATTTGTTTTAGTTGCCTTCTTGCCTTTCTGCCTTGCTCAGCACTACTGCGTCTAGGACTAAGACTAATACAGGACCATTAGAATAAGTGGCACTCACCCGTCTGATACTGCACAATGCGCCATTCGTAGGGCGAGAAGCGGGACACAAGGAATAGCACGATACTCACGCCGATGTAACTAAAGATGACGCTCACCTGGAAGAAAATCAACATAAAAATTCTAAATGAAAATGGCAAAGAAATTGAGAAAATGTAAGAAATTTTTATGTTCAAGTTTCACTGGAACGATTTTCATAGTTGCGCTTAATGAAAGCAGTAAAATATAAGAAAATGTAGGGGTACGGGAACGAGTGAGGAAGAAAAAGTGAAGATAGAATAATTTTTAAAGAAATATTTTAGAAACATTTTTATCCTCTTCATGTTTTTTTTTTTCGAAATATTGTAATACATGTTAAAGCGAAGTATGTAAAATCTTAAATCTTTAAAAGATTTTCCAATCTTTTCAATCTACTGTAGATAAATATTTTTAAGTGATATATAATACGGTAAGATAAAAGCATTATTTTTGAGTTTCATAGATACTTGCTTATTTTTGTAGTAACAGATTCAATTTTCAGACTTTCACAATGACGTAGTACAAAGTTTTTTACTAATTATGTTGAAGCTATTTGAGCCAGTGCACTTGAGCATTTTTACTCTTTATTAACTGCGAGGTATCTTCAAAACCCCTCTTTACGCCTTGACTGGATTATTATTTATCACTTCATCGGACTAATCAATAATTGACCTCAGATCTGCATACCTCCCCGAGGCGTCTGTAACCTACGCGGTGTTGGTAAGTCTGTCAGTGTTTGTAAATAATTTCAGGGCTCTATCCTTTATGTATTTTTTGATCGGATCAATCTTGGGGTCCCTTAGGATGTCATTCGATCTAATGTACCATGGTACCTTGAAAAGTCTTCTCAGAGCCTGGCTTTGTGCAATTCATGTAGAAGTGAATAACGAATTATTTGGTTACATATCAGGTTCCTGTTCTTAGCGTTGAGATTTTCATTTTTGAATAGTGGTTGGAGGTCATGAAGAATTTTGCCACAGCTAATTCTTTTCAGTCAAAGTTTTTAATAATATTTATATTAAATTTGAGTTTAAAGTCAGTTATGATGGTAATGACTATTTTACTTAATACGAACTATTGAATTTTTTAGTGGAGAGGTTTCGAACAGTAGTGAATTGCAACAACAGAAACTTTTATTTATTTTTAATCAATTAAATTTCGAGCATTGCCATCATTAGTGGTCTTAGAATTACTTCTTTCTTCATATAAATGAGTTCTCATACAGATACAAAACTCTGTGTTAAGGCTATCTAATCTTTAGTAAAGCCAAAGCTTATATCTTCATTTGATATTATTATTATATTATTTATTTTGAATTTTTTAATATTAAAATTTTTATTATTAGTTTTTTTTCAGAAATTTCTGTAAATAAAGGTAGATGTATCGATCTTGTTTTCTGGGACCAGTTATTAATATTATTAGTCAGCACTTTTGCTTATTCTTTGTACTCTTTTCATGGTTTTTGGTGCTTCTGGCTAGCATTTTTATTTATTTTTGATGCTAATTTTTCCGTTTTTATTGCTGTTCTTTTACTGTTGTCTTTAAAAATTTGTTTGTACTTATCTTACTAGTTTTTAACATATTTACATATTTTTTGGTGGTTTTGTTTAATTTTTAGTGCTGTTAGCGAGTTGTTTTTCATATTTTTTGATGGTCTTTTTTTTAAATTATTCTTATTCATCTTATCTTGCTGATTTTGGCTCTTTTTCTCATTTTTATTGCGGTTTTTAAAAAATTATTTTCGATTGTCTCAAGTTGCTCTTTTTGGTGCTATTAGCTAGCACTTTTCGTTTTTCATGCGGTTCTTTTGAAAATTATTCTTCTTTGTCTTTTTCAAACATGTTTGGTGTTTAGCTAGAACTAAGCGTATTTGTTGTGTTAAATGTGTGGAATTGTTTTTGTATTATTTATTTATTATTGTGTATATTTTTGGTGTTGTTATCCAGCATATTTATTAATTTTTAGTGTATTTTTTGTGATATTGTTTCTGGGAGTTTAGTATTTCTATTGTTGTTAACTGTAATTATCGCTCGTTTCTGATGTTGTTATTTGATAAACTCGTTTAAATGACCTAAGTTGAGAATTGAGAGTTTGTTTATAAGGAGGAAAGAAGTTTGTTTTGTGATTGATATGATGAATTACTATTATTATGTTATGTTAATTGGTAATATGTAATTTGTAAAATATACTTTTGCTACTGTTGTTTATGGTTTTAAGGGTTTTTTTTGGACAAAAAATAGTTGTTTATTGTTGATTTTTAAACGGAGGTTGGATTTATGTTAAAAATTATAAGAAATTTTGGAGAAAGTACTTATAATAGTAAGCTTTAGAGGTATATTGTAGAATAACCGTGCGGATAAGTATATGACTTAAGTTATTTGAATGAAATACTTTTGTTATATTAAGTTATTTTTTAATAATTTTTTTTAACAGAATATTCTATGACTTCTTTAACTTGGTGTATATTGAAAATGAACTTTAAATCAAAACGTCAAGAATTTATGGTACGTTTTAAGATATATTACGTATATAGCACCTAATTCATTATTGCTCTTTGATTATATTGACTAACGAATTATCACTTTTGCATTAAGATTTGTTTTGAAAATTGAGGTTATTAATTTTTTGAAGAAAATAAGGTTATCTTAGGTTCTGTCGGCCATCGTAAGGGTCCACTTAGGCCTATTAAATCATTATATCTCCGTAAAGAAGACTTAGAAACTACCTCAAACAATCTGCACACAAAAATAATTTAAAAGTAGAAAGAATGTTTAATCGACTTCAAAGATAATTTATTTAGCTGTGCAATATATATATAAATATATTCATTCGCTTTTGTTTGTGAAAGTATCTAACGCTGTTCAGATTTCTAAAAATATTTTAATTATTTTTGTTATAAAAATTGTTCCAATTAAATTTTGATTTGGAAAATCATTATTTGGAATTTTATAAATTTTTGCAATTACATCACTTGGCGACTGAAACTTCTAACAAAATTTTCTACAAAGCTTAGGAAACACAGATAGACAGAAGACGGACAGACAGACAGACAGGCTGACAGGATAATAAAGTGACAGACATATGTGAAAAAGACACACTGAAAAGCGGCGACAGAGCAAATAATGTTGTAGAAACGTTAAATATCAGAATTTACACGACACACAATCAAGCGCAGGAGTAACAGCAAAAAGGTGTATACAGGCAGATGGCATGGCAAGCAATGTCAAACCGGTGGCCCTCGAAGCATTTGCCAGCCGCACCAACGAACAATGCCAGCTGGAGAGCAGTTCGCATTGCGGAAGACAGCCCCGAGCCTTACAGGGTTGCGCAACTCTGCAATGCTGTAGACTGTGTAGCTCTGTGTGTAGCTCTGTGTGTGTGTATGTGGCTCTTTATGGTTATTTGTGTATTTGTGTGCAGATTTATGCTGATCTATGTGTAAGCGCCTAAGAAGTAACAGCCACAGCAGAAATACCAGCTACAGCAATAATAACTGTCGTTCCCGTGAAAAATATACTGCTGGAGCGACTTTTGTGTGCGGCAAGTTTAACGGGAAGCTACAGGATACCTTTTGTGAAGACTTACAGACACCATTGTTAGCATAGAAATGAACGTCTCGCTATTAGATGCGTGGGATGGGGGTGATGTGTATAGGGTTTACTATGCGTATCTTGATAACAGCACAGAAAGGTGTATTTAAATGCGTTCTATATACAAACATTTGCCTTAACAAACAAACTAACAAACACAGCTATCGAAAATAATGAAAGTAACAATTTGACGGCTTTGGAAAGGTAACCAGCGTACGCGGCTTTGTTTAGATATACATGTGAGCTTTGACACAAACCAACAAAAAAATAAAGCAAAAATAATAGAAACTTCATTCGTTACAATATGAATGTATCTATGTACTATAAGTATCTGAAGAAGAGAAAAAAAAAGTTCGTTTAATTTTTGATATATCGCTTATATACATGGATATATATATACACTCGCAAGGCATTTAATTTGCTTTCTGTCACTTTTTCTTTTCTTTTTTTTTTTTTTTGATAAAATTCATACTTTATTAGCTTTGTTAACTTGAGGCGCGTAACTGATTTAGGCCTGTGTTGGCACCTCCTAGCAGTACGTAGTACGGTTAAATTCCAGATGATTTTTTCTATATAATTTGTTGCAGAGTTTTTAATGCCACTATTCAAATTAGTCTAATAAGAAAATCACGGCATGTGCGTTACAGTTCACGGCAGCAATTTCGAGGCGCTGCCGTTAATCATACGCCATGGTGGGCAAATTGTGTCTTCTGTAGTGCCTTCAGTAGGGCTTTCTGTGCTCACTTCAGTCCCTCCCTATGTGTCCCTATGTGTGTGACTGTGTGACTGTGTCATGTCGTATTGTTGTGTAAATACGTGTGAATACTCCTTTTGTGTTGTTGGCAGCCTAAAATCTAATTTGCATTTAAAATTTGTTCACATGTCAAATTACGTATTAAGCATTTTCCATTTTATTAGCTTCAATTTGCTAAGGTTTTCCAGGCACAATTTTCTTTTCTTGTAAATTTTAATAAGATTTTAATTTTTTTCTCCCATTTCGTCGTAATACAATTTGTTTTATCATCTTTTTGCGCTCTGTCAATTCGTTTTTTGTAATTTGTGTATTTAGTTTTTCTTTCATTTACTTTTGGGACCCCGAAATGATGGCGCGGAGGAGTGAGAGATAAGGGATGAATGTATCATTCGTTTCAGGCAACTTTCAAATACTTTAAATATTTATTCTTGTAATTACTTGTGTGAGTTATAATTACTGAAAAAATTTATATGCGTGCATATCTGAGGAGCAAAAGTTAAAGCTTCTTATTGGTAAATATTTGGAAATACGAAGAATGATATTTTGCACTCATTAACTGTTTTAATACTTTTCTTTAACTGATGGAATGAAGAAATGAAGAAAAACCACAGCTTATAGTTTTCAATATTTCATTATTCAAATACTTTTAACTGTAATTTTTCATAAAAAATTCATTTTAAATTTGGAAATATTTCATTTATCGTGAATTTTATACAAAAAGAGTTTTCTGTTTCGATGGCAGATTTAATTTTAATTGGCTTAATATTCCCAGAAATTTTAATGAAGCCAAATTTTGTTCATAAATACAATCAATTCCTTTTTAAATTGTGTGAAAGTATCTGTGTTTCTGTTGTTAACAAAATATTTGTCAAAAATAAATAGCTATTCGTTCCTTTATTGGTTAATTTATACAAAAAAAAGTGTAAATGTATGGAAGTATTATAGAAATATACTTCACATAGTTTTATTTTGAACAGTCAAAGCTAGAGTGAGACCTAGAATACGCTAGAGTTCGCATATTAACAAGTTGTTGTACAATTTATTCATATTGACCTCTTACTATTGGCGAAATCTTTACAATAAATCCTCATAACATACTTGATGTCCGTAGGCTCTTTAATACTTTCAATGAAAGTAATTTCTTCTGCTCCTCTCAGTTTCCTGTCGACTGTCTTAGTGTCGAAAATACTCATGCGTTCTTCATTCCCATAACTATTCTTCTGCTCAAATGGAAGAAATCCGTCTTTTTGAGCGTAGCGTCCTCTGTGATTGCAACAATTACAAGCTAAGCTAGACGGCAAGCATTTTCCAAGCAATTTGAGCTTTACAAAAAAGCTCAAATTACTCGCATCGACAAGTACCTCTTTATGCTCTCTCTGGTGGTTTCTCACCCGTTTGCATAACGTCTCGTATTCTAGCACAGTTTCCTCTAAACTTGTACTAGCGAAGCGCCTCAAGTCTTCACAATATCTAATTGTTTATTTCGATGAGAGACAATTATCAGTCCCTTTTATAACCATGTTACTTTTACGGAATTCAACTGTCAAACTTTACAACAGAAACTATTTTGGCTTTGTTTCCCGGTTTTAGTGATGTGAATTGGCCTCCATTAAACGATTTGACACCATCGGGCTTTTGTTTAAATGTTGAGAATTATCTAATGATAATTCTTGACGTACTCTAACAAAAAAGGCTTAACGGAAGCAAATTGTTTATTCTTGGTGACTAATCCACATCAACAAAAACTAAAATTATGTTTTCGAAAACAAAGCAAAAATTCAATAACTCCTGTCGCTTTGAAATGGAATAAAAGTCAAGTTATGGACAAGCTTCAGCACAAAAAATCCACTAAGGTCGCAGTGCTCCATTTTGTTGGGAGCTTGTATCCTTTTTTTTTATTTCTCTGAAAGCTGAAGCTTTCGAAAGTTATATACTGACGAAAATTCGGATCCCGCAGGAATCTACCACTGTTGAGAATAAAAGGTATAAAGAATAAGGTTAAATATTACAATGAAATAATAATTTGACTGAAATCTAGACAACAAATATGTAGCACTATAGTTCTGTTGAGCTAAACAATCTAATGACTTTAATGGATTATTTGTTGTCTTTTTGTTGTGAATTAAAGTTTTGAGAAGAGATTTGATTGTATGATCAGCCAAATGATTCGATTACTGAAATATAAAAACTTTGTTCTTGCTATTCATTACTGTATTAAAGCTTTCTTTATAGAAATCTCTTTCTTCGTCATCATTGACTGTGAAATAATAATTTAATATAAAAATTTTTATATTTTTAAAGTAGGAAAGATGAATACAGTACATTTATATAAACTTATTTTTTTCTTTTATAAGTTTTGCAATATTACACACCTATTTGGAAAGATGAATACAGTACATTTATATAAACTTGTTTTTTTCTTTTATAAGTTTTGCAATATTACACACCTATTTGAAATTATGCATATATATTCCAAATATTTTGTTAGCCGCAATTTGAACTTATCTCCACCTTTATTATATGAAAATATCAAATATCAAATTTCAGTGTTTCCATTCGAAAACAACTTGGCTTATTAATCCTTAAAGCATAGTACAATATTTACTTTTGTAATTTCATCTCCAACGTGTTAGCGGATATTAAACTTCATTTTCTTGAAAAACCTTTTAAAAGAATTCTTAAAATTCTATCAGTTGCGTTTCTCATTTTAAAGTTATGAAAACTTTTATGGTGCACTTTGCACTGAAATACTTTTAGAAAGAAGTTTTTTTCTGTTTCATCTGCGTTCCTCAAAATTTTTTATACAAAACGAGAGTCAGCGAACTTCCCCACCTCCCGACTCCCGACTCCCGCTATAGTTTAATATCACAACAAATTTTCTGCTTACTTTATTAAACTTTATAAGCTGCTCTCTAAAACTAAATAAACCAAAATAAAGTTGACAAAAACTTGTGAAAATAAAACAAGCAAAAAATTAAAAAACTTTTCTCATTTGTATGCAGCGTAATTTCTGCTACTTTGAGATACTTTCGAAAGAAAAGTAAAACAGAAAAATGAAAAGCAAAAATGTATATATAAATAAAAATTAAGTAAATAAAACTTTAAAGAAACACAAAACACAAGTAACTTCAAAAGATACTTTAGATACCAGAGCTCCATTGCTGGCTATTACATGCAGTGCCCAAAGTACGCTTCACTGAGCTCAATCGAAGCGAAAGTGTAAATACTGCAGTCAGCGCACATACCACACACCACATAGCACATAGCACATACCATATAGCACATAGCACATAGTACATCACCAATTGTATAAGTTTCTTCATAGGTCGGCACTTTTTGTACTCACCCAAATTTCCTGTGATAATGGATTCATGAAACTGAACACGCCTGGCGTTTGCTTCACTGGTTTCTTAATCATTATCGAAATGCCCAGCGACATGAAAGGTTTGCTGAAATCAATGACACGTTCCCGTTCGGCGGTAATCGTCATGGCGGCAATTGCAATATCAGCTTCCTGCAGCGACCACGTCAAGACGTTAAAAATATCATAAAAAAGAGGAGAAGAATAAACGCCATGAATTGTTAAAAATACTACAGACCAAGCACAGAAGAAAAAAAAAACAACAAGTTTATTCGAAACAAAAGCTTGCAATTTCGAAATAAAAATGTGCAAACAATTGTAATAAATTTTTTAACTTACCCTGCGTACCAGCTCGCCCACCATTCCGTCCCAGCCGCCGCGAACATTTGGATTTTCAGCGCCGTAACTGCGATCTTTAACGAGACGTATTTCGTCTGTTTCGGGAAAAAAGTGAAAAAGTTGAGAGTTGGAAAAAGGAATATAAAAAGCGGTAAAGTGGAAACGGAAATAACAATAAAGTATGTTAATTCACTTCTCTTGTATTTTGCACTTGTGCACACTTACAATTTATGCCCAATTTTTTTGCCAGCAAATCCGCCAAATCTTTACAGTAACCCTCAAAGCGGTCATTACCCTCCAATTGTTCACCAAGTGCAGGACGCTTTTCCATAATGTAAGGCTCCTCCAGCATTGTTGTCACAATGTATGTGCGATTCTTTTCAATTTCGGCGTGCGGACGTAGGCGCACATACTTTGCCGAAAGTGGTTGTAGCCCACCTTCGTCACTCCATTCGGCAACCTTTACCATGGCGCTATTAACAGTCATTTCGACAACGTGCAACGTGTAGTTCACACGTCGTCCATCGTCGTTGAACTTGATGTCACCAGTGAGACCTTCGATTTCAACCTAATTGTATAGTGAATGTACAGAATAAGAAAGGAGAAATTTTATATTCTGATGTGACATGTGTTCCGCATATATTAAGATCGACCTAATGTAACTGGTGACTGCATATAGGAAGAAATAAAGGGTTTAAATGGAAATGTGTGAAATAATTTAAATGGAAGAAAGGAAATGATATACTTAATTAAGCTAAATGCATTACCCATTAAAAATACACACATATATCTCATAATTAACTTATCATATAATTTGACTTTTTAAGGTTGTTGAAAAAAATTGATAATGATATTGAAGATATATAAGTATATTTAATGGATTACTGTGCAGTTATTGGACTATTACTTTTTGAAACATTTAAGATACTGCATTTAAAAGAAACTATAATATACAGTATGTATGATTGATATATGTATATATATTAGCCTAATAGCTTATTGATTTAATAATATGAAAAAAATATGGTTATATGCATATCAGTCAGAAAAGTAGATTCTACCTAAGATATTATAGTTAAAAATATTACTTGTTCAACTATTTGCTTTTGACGAGCTTCAGTATAGTTTTTATAACCTTCAGTCAATATTAAATTAAATAAAATACTTTATCTTTTTTAATTTTAAAGACCGTTAAAGTTGTTTACTTATAAAAATATTTTAATCAATTTTGTAAACCCTTTTCATTTTAGCATAGAATAAAACTAATTCAAATAAATATTACTAATTTTTATATTTATTTCAATTTTACTGTATTTTACTGATTCCTCAAAAAATTACATGTTTTTATCGAACAGTAATGAAATAACAACAAAATTTTTTATTATTTTCAATTAACTGAATTTTTGAGTGACCATCAGTTGTTTCGAGTTTTTTCAAAAGTATTGAGGCACAAGAGGTCTAAAGATTTGTATAATGTACCTTGTTAAAAAGTTAGAAACTTCTATTGGACTTATACCAAACTATACTAGACTTAGATAAATAATTCTAAAGCAGTACTTAGTTATAAATACATTCTACATCAACCCTAACTTAATATCATTCTAATGTTTATCTAAAATTTTTAGCTTATGATTTCTTTTTAATAGAGCAAGTGAAATTGAAACAGCAAATTAACAAAAATTTAAGTTCGAACATATAAGTCAAGTACGGCTTTGGGTGAATTGGCTAGTGAGCACTGACTCTGAACTTAAAACTTGACAGGGCACGAGTTCAACCCTTGTCATTTTCAGTCTCAAAAAATCATTCACAAATATAAGAAATAATTTCAAGACCATTGATGATTGGTATTGGGCAAGATTCGAAACAACTGTATGACATGCTTCAATTCAATAAAAAATTCAATTAAATAAAAAAATAAAAATTTGTGGTTTGATTCACTACTGTTTAAAATCTAACTAAGAAATATATGGTATACTTTGAGAACAGCATTTGTTATTAACGTCTATGGCTATTCCATTTCTATACCCTGCAGATCTAAATTTTATTAAAGTCTAAAAAAATTTATTTTGTGTGCTTTTGAACCTGTAGTTCTGAAGTAGTTCCGACTTCGTATGTGAATTTTCATATATCATTATATTTTCATATTTTTAATGAGCTACGAACATACGGTTATTACTGCTCTACTATTATTAATATTCTTTGAAAAGGGGTGGTGTACTGCGACCTAAAAGATCTATTGTGCCTCTTAGTTGGATTGGAGTCAGATTTCTTTAACGAAAGACAGTATAGAGCCTATCTTTTCTAGTCTTGAACCCTTATGATATATGAAATACCCTCCTAGGTGTTTCGTCCGCTTGTTCATCTGTACCGGGTATTCCCCAAGCCCGGCCCGGTCTAATAAGTAGTCTTAACATCTGTGGTGATTTTTAGCCACTTATAATAATGGCTAAAGAAAAGTTATTTATGGTACTTTCTAACATTTATTCGTAATTAGAAGTAGTTATTTTTTGTGATTTGTGATTTTATGATTATTTTAATATATTATAAATGAATAAAAAATTATTACTATTAAATTTGGGAATATTTTTTCAATTTTAATTACGTTAATCTGCTTTAAAAATAATAAATTTTTCAAAGGATTTGTATATATGGATATAGTATATTTAAATTATTAAAAAATAAAATTTGAAATTGAAATAAGTTAAACAAAAAATTCCTTTAAATCCTTTTATTTAACTTAACCATTTTGATCCATTATACAAATAATTTTTTTTTTGTGCAAATACTATTAATAAATAAAATTTTTTATTTATAATTGTTATATTTGAACAAATGTTCCATTATTTTCAATGAATTACAATGCAATTCATATGGTTTATTATTGAATAGCAGCCGAAAAATAATTGCCGTCCTTCCACCTCAACTAATGTCTAAACTGCATGAAAGTGCTATGAAAATATCCGCTCCGCTCCGCTACCTAATTTAATTTATTATGCCGCCAGTTTTTCATTATATCCAATTTATAGTATTATTTTTCCACTTATCATTTAACTGAATATTTACAATCTCCGCGTTACATAAACGTCAATTTAATCTCATATTTTTTGACCCAATTGCAATAAAGAGAAACCCTTTTTACGATATTTACTCACACCATTAGGGACTGTTTTTTGTTTTTTTTCTTCTTTTTTCTTTCCGGTTTGTTTGTGTTTTTGTTTTTGTTTTTTACCCCCACTATCGGTCACCGACCACCAAATTACATTCTCATACACATTCAAATCATTTGTTAGTGTGCACTCACCTTTCTTAAATAGCGCGAAATTTTATCACCGTGTTCCCAGGGGTTCACCCAACCTTTCGATGTATTACAGTCTAGAGCACGCGGCACAGCGCCTCCTCCACCGCCATTGCCGCCTATGCCGCCACCGTTGCCGCTGCCAGTCATGCCATTGCCGCCGATACCACCTGCTGGCATACCTGTGCCATTAGCGGACGTGGAGGCAGCTGCCATCATTGTCTGACCTCGTCGTTGTATATTGTTCCGGAATTGATCGGGTTTTTTGCGAAGGATTTTGTTAAAAGCTTCAACCAAAACAAAAACAGCATCGTACATGAGCGCTGCCTGGGCCTGTATGGTTGTTGGGAGTTGGTTGTTTGTTGTTGTTGTTGTTGTGGAATTATGGAAAATGGTTGGTTGCAAAAAAGTGCCGGAAACGGAAGCATATTATGTTAGCATTTAATGAGTGCATTACATTATGAATTTTTTTCTCTTACATTTATATATATATATATATATATATTTTTTTGATTTTGGTAAAAATTTCTGCTTTGGTTTATTGTTTGTTTGGTCGTTATTTTTTTTTTTTTTTTGTAAGTTTCATCTGGTGTATTTGACAGTAATATTGTGTTAGTGTTACTTAAGGGGTAGATTTTGCAGTAGATTTAGGGTATTTGCGTTTATGATACTGTATATTGTATGTGATATGCGATATGCGATATACTATATGCGATATGCGATGCGATGCGATATGTGATATGAGAGTATGTTCACATTATTATGGTGTAAATAAAGCTTGTCGTGTTATATGTCGGATGTAAATGCTAAAATATGTTGTGCAAATAGCCTCTTGCAAAATATGAAATTATATGACTTTCCTTGTTTTTGGCAGCTATGAGTGTGTATTATTATTGTACGAGCACGAGTACGAGTACGAGGATATGTAAGAGTTGACGCTGCATGAATAATACGTATGGGATTAATCCTATCCTTATTTTCTACATTAAATAAACATGTTTGAAAAATCTGTGAAGTGTAACAGTGGAACAAATTTAATTTGAGACAAGTGAGCGGAATGAGTGACTTCATTTATGAAAATGAGTGGCTGGTTTTAGTTTTTTTTTACTTAAAATGTTGAAAGCGTCGAATGAAAATTATAGTTTGGTACCTAGAATAATTGGCTGCGAATAAGTTACTTAAGTTTGCAGTTCCTACAAAATATTTTTGTGTTATTTAAAACTACTATCTATTCATATTCTAACATATCAAGACAACGATATGGTACACTAGAAAAGTACTTTTGAACAATAGAAAATACATAATAAAATCATTAGATTCAGTTTGTGGCGGTCCCATTTAAGAACTAACAACACTAAGAACCAAGTATAGATATTTATTAAGTTTACTTAATTTATTAAAAAAATATATATTTAATTATTGACAATTATTACAAACGTTAATAGGTGATTTTTGATGAACTTTAACTATGATGCTTGCTTATCGATAGTAGTAGCTTAACTGAGCGCTGACAGGCAGTCTATTTACAGTATAAGCACTACTAAAGATTGGTTCGGTCAGTGTTGCGAATTAACGAGATGATTGCAGACTCTAGACATCATCAATCAGTATAAGATACACATAAGAATTGTTGAATTTACACCACTGAAGCGGACAGAAACATTTCGATATTGCTGCTAACCAATGAGTTATCTCAAGAGCAGAGTGGGGTTTAAGTTAGGTAAAAAACACCGAGGGGGTCGGATACTGGAAGGGAGCCCCTTAGCCTAGATGTGCTCATTGAAGTTACGATGATATTGTGATACATATAAAAATGTGCTCATTGTGCTCAAATATGGTGTGACATGATAGAAAAGAGCCTAGAGGCGTGATGAAGAGGCATACATTGGAGTCCTTGGTAGGAACTTAAAATACCTCAAAGAAACGTTCCTGAAAAGCTTGGCATACGATCCTAAACGAAGAAGAAGTGGATTGTTCCAATTCTGCAAAACAAGAAATGAAAATTTTTCCATTCACATGACAGAAATAGAAAGTCAGATGATCACGGCAATTTGACGCTTGTTTGATCATGACCAAAAGGCATGTTATGTTTTTCTATGGACACATCAGATATTCACAAACTTACTCTTAATAAACACAAATCTCTCTTTCTCACTCGCTCATTTTCTCATATATTTTATTTAGATTGAAAACAACAATAACTTCATACTTCATGACCATGACTGTCTGTATAACAATGTGTTTAGTTAGCTATGTAGTAGGTGTGTAGATGATAGAAACTAGCATCTACTATCAGTCATTTTTGTTAGCAATCTCTTGTATGATCTTTTCGTATAATAATTTGAATTAAAAGGATATTTTTACTTTTCATTAATGATAAGATTTAGGTTCTTGTTGTAATATAAGGGCTTCGTTTGTGATCAAGTGAATTCGTTCAATTCGGGATAATTTGGACATCTATCACAAACAATATATATATATATACTATACTAGAAAAGGAGTGGGTGTAACTTACATTGAACTTAACCCGAGCTCTGAGTATATTTTCAGTGATGAGAATAAATTTGAATCGAAATCGAAATTTTCGAAATATAGTGAAATACTTTAAGCTCGACGCGTTAAACAAAATGCAAATCGATTTAATTAACTAATTTTTATGTTTTGTGTAGTTTGTTGATAGTATGCTGTTTTGAGAGAAAATTTCTTCTATATATTCAATATATATACTTTGAGTTCTAACGAATATTGTTCACGAAGCAAACTGGAAAGCTGATTATACTTAATTAGAAGCTTTTATATATTCAAATCGTATCTCACATTTCATAACGAGAAAGAAACAACAAAATTAAACTTTTTTCCTAGATAGCATGAAATGATTGTGCAAATGGGCATTGTTTCTCCTTTACAAGGCGAATGAATTACTTCAACATGTTGCAGGAAAAAGTCAATTTTGTGTATAAGAGTTTATCAGTATCTGCAGCAGACTCTGCCATATTTTACATTACATTTAAGTCAGATACAGCAGCACAGCTTTGGGATATTAAAGTACTGCCATGAGCCGTAAGTAAACAACGAAATGAACAAACAAAACAGAAATTTTTGCCTACAATTTGCCTATAATAGTTTGCACATTACCGAAATTGATTCTCTTCCGGCGCCAACGGATGTAGTTGGATCCAGGCGCTTCCAACTGTCATAAAATTCACGTACCAGACGACGATTAGTGTCAACAATACGAAATCCGGTAATATTAATGGCACCGAACTCGATGATTTCGCTTTCCCAGCGATCATCCATTACCTGTGCAAAAATAAGAAATGCAAAATTATTAAAGGAATCGTCCTGTGCCACAAGGACAAAATGAAGAGCTGAGCAGCAGTGCAAGTGGTAATTGCTTTTTAATATAATGTAAATAAAAAGCAAACACACACATACAAACAAATACAAACACAAATAAAAGAAAACAAAATTTGTTGATAATGCAAACAATTCGTGCCACCGAGTGTCGCTTAGTTCAGAGCATGTGGCATGTGGCAGGACACTTTAGCGTTAAGCTCAATTTTTTGCTCGGTTTTTCGGATTTTTGGTTTTGCTTATTGTCATTATTGTTGACTTGCTGTTCATTTTCTGTTTTTTTTTTTTGTTTTTTTTTTTTTTTTTGGAGGAGGGGATTTGTTTTATACTCACCAGTCCACTGAGCAAATAATGATATGTTCTACGCCCGAGCGAAATATCACGCACATGCTGTATTAGTATCTCTTTGGCCATTTCCGTTGGGCAATCGAGCACAATGTACTTATTAGTGAAGCGGCCCAAATCCTCCAATGTGTGCAGGAAGTCGATGGCCATTGTTACATTGGCAATACGTTTAACCATTTCAACTTGGAATGACTCATTTCCGGGCTTAAGACCCTGGTATATCTGCTGCAATCGCAAAAGTCCTAAACGATAAAGAGATTTAAAAAGATTTTTGGTAAAAAATTTTCCACTATTTTCGCTGCTCTAAGTATATAATGCTTTATAAAATACTAAAATGCAGTGAGTTTTACGAGAGACTAAAATTTATTCTGTTTCGTTTTGTCAGAGCTCAAAATTGAATTTTAAAATATATTTTGTTTTTGATTTTGGTTTGATTTTAATATAAATTGATATGGCTAACAGGAGGTTTGTAGTTATTCCATACAGTTACTCACTGTATGCTTGTAAAAAAGAAATAAGTAACAAAAAACATTACTACTAAAAATAAATCTTTTTACCTTGGAGTATACAAGAGCCACAACACTTTCATCACAAGCATCAAAAGTGGCGAACAACAGCACTAAAAGCAGCAACAGCAGCAACAGTAGCAACAGTAGCAACATCAATTTAAAATTTTGGAAAGGAAAGAACAACAAGCAATGGGCATTGGGTTTGAAGGCACTATAAATTGTTAAGGGATCGATTTAAAAAACCTCATTCGTTTATACACAAAACACAAAATGGATTTGAAATGAACATATACAATGTACCAAAAAAACAAAACAAAACAAAAATAAAATAAATAAAAGTAAACTAAAGCAAAGAAATCGAAAAGAAGTAACAAAATTTTTGCAATATTAAATTTGGCATTTGAACCCCAAATACCCACTCACTCACAGATTCACAGATTCACCGACTCACAGTTTCAGTTGAGTTACACTTCGGAGCGGTGGCATAACACACAAGACACTTGGGTAAACACATAAAAACACAATCGAAATACAACATTTGGGCATATGAGATGTTAGTTTGTGCAGCAGTGGCTTAGTCAGTCGGATAATAGTTGGAGCTGAATCCTTTCAAAAGATTTATGTTGACAACAAAATTTGTGGATTTGTAATCGAACTTTCATTCCATAAGTATAGGAATTCTTTAGTTCATTATATCTGTACAGATGTATTTGGGAATAATGGCAAAATTGATTCAAAAGGAGGCGATGTATCAAATACTAAGAAATTCGTGAAAGCCAATTAGCAATTAATTTCGTCAGTGTATTTCTACAAGATCAAAAATATTTTACATTAAAATATTCTATAGGCTTATATGAGACTCTAATAATATTAGGATATTATTAGATACTTATGAGATTGAAGTTTTATCGTAGTTTTAGAAAAGAAATTTTGTAATATCAACCGTCTGTAACTGAATAAAAGACACTCAGCTCTTTGAAGAAATATCAGAATTTCTTCCGTTAAAGATTTTCTGATATTAGATTGTAAGAGAAGTTTCCAGTTTTATATTTTCATTTAGGTTCAGGACAAAGCTGACTTACTTACCTACAGATTGTTATGGCCAAATAAATTATGCTAAGTTTCGTCGGTTATGTCATGCTATGTCAGACCTGTTTGGCACATCATCCTGGCGGTTAACTGGAGTGCCACGCCGATAGCTACTTATGTCAATAGTATCAACTTTTTTATAAAATATTCCGATTTCCCATTGAATCCCTCTGATCAATATCTAACAATACACCACCCAGTGGTTGATAATCGATAGTTAGTTAGTCTTACCATTAGTTTATTTAAACATTAGATTTATAATAATGAAAAAAATAACAAAAAGAGTGGAAAAGTCTTACTCGTTTACACGACATATAAGTCTATATAGAAAAGTGATAATCCAAAGGACTCATCAAAATGATTCATGTTTTAAAATTTCATCTGTTTCTAATAATAACAGACCAACTCCTTCAATACCACAAAAGATTGAAGGTTTGAACCCAAATAAAACAAAGCAAACAAACTCAAGAAATCAAGCACCAAAACTGACGAAAATAACGGCTTTCTCGCAAAAAAAAAAACCCACAAAAAACCCAAGAAGGACATAAGCATACCTAGAGTAGCAAATTCAAGGAAGCATGTTCAACTTCATCTATACCATACTTGCATACAAAAGATGAAGAGTGAGGAGACGAAATCACTAGATAAATGTAAAACCTCGCAGAGTAAGATGAACGACAAAAAAAATGTTACGATAGAAATAGACGACGCAGTCTTTTTCGATTAAAAGGTCGAGCGAAAGGAACTGTACTTCTTCTATATTACTTGATTCTTAGAATCTATTGAAGAAAGTGATAAAGGAAGAACACCTTCGATGTTCACTAACAGTCCTTGATGATAAATATTATAGTCGATCAAAAGGAGCTGTACCACTTCTATATTACTCGATTCTTAAAATTTGTTAAATAAAGTGTTAAAGGAAGAACACCTTCAACGTTCACTGACAGTCCTTGATGATAAATATTATATTTAAACAAAGTTTTTTATATGAAATTGCTGTTTCATGATTTTTATGAAAGTATTTGATTCTTTTTAAGTGGAAATAAAAATTTTTTAACTACGCCACTGTGTTGAGAAAATTATTGAGATTTTTGTCAATATAAACTTAACTTTGATTTCCTTTTTCGATTTACATGTTCACTTATTGAGTTCGGACAGTGAGTGCCAGTATCAGTCGTCGTATGCATTAAAGCACAAAGGAACACAAGGAACACAGTTGATGTGTATGCCCAATGATTGCGTCATAAATTGTGAATGTTATTTACTAGAAGGAGGAGTGAGATTGCTTTAACATCAAGCCATTTTACTTTTTTCCCCATCGAATCCTTACAACAATGCAACTGCTTAGAGCTTTCAACACGATTGCAGAGCAAACCATTCAAGTCATGCCATTTCGATTATTGTATTGCATTACAATCGATGACACAATTTTTGTTCATGTGCTAATGTAAATTTCACTTTAGTCCACATTTTATGTTTAAAGCTAAAAAGGATTCAAGGATTCAACGATTCGACGATTCAACGATTCAAGGATTCAAGTATACGGTATGTAAAATTCTGAAATTCTCGTTACTCCTGCCCTATTTTCCTTTTTGAATTTTTGATTTTTCTGGTCTATTTTATTAATTTGGACTATTGTGTACATCTAATGGACGTTGACTTTGACCGGCCGGATACATATACACACATACCAGCACATATACTACTTGAATTGCAGATTTACTCGTATTGTGTGTTGTCAATAATGTTGATATCTAATTTTTTGCTCTGTCATACTCCATAATGGAAACGAAGTTTTCTCTTTGATGCCTTCCTTTTTTTTCGTCGTTGTGAGATACATTTTGCGTATCTCGTTGCCCCCATAATATTTTTTATGTGTACAATTGGATTTATGCGGAAAAGGAAAGTGTAATTGATGTATGATTTTATGCGTATATACATATGTGTGAATCGATGAGATATAAATGTGTTGCTTATTGACAGTTCTCTATGAATATGTATTAGTTGAAGTGAAGAAGTCATAGCGGTATTCCTCCCATAGACATATTATATATGTATAGGATTTTTTTTGGCAGATAAGCATGGATTTGTTATATGCCTGTTGAAATATAATTTCTTCTGCATATCCTGCTGTACTGTGTAGTTATCGTACACTTAGGTATTACCTACAATATGTCGATGTAGTAGAGAATTTTTTTTATTTTATTTTATTTTAAATTAAATTTTGATTTCTTTTAAGATTTATTGAAAAGTATTTGCTATTGATCTGCTTGAAATGAGATCTTACAATTTCGATTACAAATGAAAATGCAAATATAAACATAAATACTCGTATATATGGTATATACACTGTATGTACCTAACGTATATAGCCGTAGAGACGTAGAGGTGTGTGGGTGTGTGGGCTTGTGCACTTTTATGGCTTGTTTTTTAGATATTAAATTTGATTTTATTTCCAAAAAATTATGTTATTCGTTTTGAGAAATCGTTCTGATTTGATTTGATTTGATTACATTTAGAGCAAAATCAAATAAAAATTTATATTATCTAAAATTCATACGTTGGCAAATATATTCTGGTACTTCAGCAGTTCTCAGCATTTGCAGTTTATTTGATCGAATCGAATTTTGAAAAGGAACACTTATCAAAATTTACGAAATAAAATTACAGAGACTTGAACTTACTATGAAGTGGGGTAAGAGAAAATGGGATGCGAAATAATAACTAAATTTAAGTTCCTTGGAACAAGTTTATGTATTTATTTGTTGTTTTTATTTCAGTTTAGAACTTTTATTTCGTTGAAATAATTTGTCATTTTGGCGCCTTTTATGGCTTTTCAATTCTATGTTTTTTTTTTGATTATTTGCTTTGAAGTTCCTTAGCTTTCTATGCTGAAAATTGTGGCAGGATTTATTGCAGTGATTGAATAAACAGAGTTTCCGATTTAAAGCAAAACGACCCATTTAATTGTTAAAGAACGATGTTGGCTAGAATAATGCATGCGACTTAAAAAGTTTGTTAATAGTTTTTTAGCTCCAGTTTCCAGTTTCCAGCTTCCTAGCTACGTAGCTAAAGCCAAAGCGAACTGAAAGTGTATGGCCTTAGTAGATACTTTGTGATACTCTGTGTGGGCAAAATAATATATCTGAAATGTTAACAGTTAAACTTTTTCGCAAAGCTGGAAACTTTAACTCTGCTGTCAGAATAATAAGAAGTTATCATAACTTTTTGCTTTAAGCTCGCCATGGCAGTTGTTTGTCGAGCAGTTTTCACTGACCGAAATAACGTATAAAAATATCCGTTATTTCCGAAATGCGTAAAAACTTATCGATGGAAATGTGTGCATATGAGATTATATACTTATATCCTTCCCTTCACTCCTTGACTCCTACAATCCTACACTCCTTTACTTGTGTTTATAAATTGTTGCTGTTTATGCATATGTATTTCAGCTCAAGGCAATATGGTGAAATGTTTTGCTATTTTTTTATCTATCGGAAATATATTTTTGTTTTTTTTGCTCCTATTTTGATATTTTGCGGTACGAAAAGTTTTTGTATATGCCGTAGAAAATCTAAGATCAAAAGATTTTATACATAATTTTACTCTACTTTCTAAAAGTAAGATACATATTGCAAGAAATT